CAGTCTGCACCTTGGGGTGGGGCTTAGGCGACCAATACAGCCCCGCGGGAGAATCTCAGATCCTTTGAGCTGATGAGCAGAGGATGCCGGGTGACGTAAAAAGTACGTGTCGCGCATATGATTCCATTTCCGTGGACCCCAAATCCCGGCAGGGCTGCTCTGTGGACGAGAAACTGGGTCAGAGGCCCTTGGCAGGGGCCGTGAGGAACTGCTCTTGGGGTGACAAATGCTCTCAGCGTGGATTGGGGCCTTCGGTTCTCCGCTGCTGTTGTAGATTCTCATCAGGACTCAGAACTGTGGGGGAGCGCGCCCTTTACATATGTAAACCCTTCTTAGCTCAGACTCTGGGAGGTAGAAGCACGTCATAAACTGAAGAAGCCGGCAGGGTGTTTGCTGGATCGAGAGCACTGCTGTCTTAGCCTCCATGTTGCTATGATGAAGGAGCCATGGTTGGTGTTGTAGAACTGTCGAAGTCAGTCTGGCTCTCAGCGCCTGGAGGCAGCGTCTGGCGAGGGCCTGGATGCAGCACGTAGGGCGGGGAAGCGGAGGAGAAGCAGCCGAGACGGAGCCAGTGTGTGGTGTGGCCTCAGTGACCAGCCTTCTCTGCCCCGTGATCCATCGTCTCCTAGAGGCCCAAGCACAGGGAGCCAAGCTTGAGGTCACCCGCAGCAAGCGCTAGGACAGCTCGGCAGGAGAGACAAGGGTGTGTCCAGTGCGGGGCAGCAGGTGGACGTCACATAGCGAGGCCAGCCAGGGCCACACGAGAGATGACCCTGAGCAGAGCGTGGAGAAGTGGAGCCGGTGTTCACAGTGAACGCCACATTTTCGAAGAGAAGGAGGCCGTGCCTGTGGCGTGTCCTGCCCTGGCTGTTGGGCACACTTCCTCCTCCACGCCCACGGTTCCCAGCAGCCACTGCTGCCCGCATCTCTGCCTGGGCCTGCCCTGCCTACCCTGTGCTTCCCTAGCTGGCTGCACAAAGACCAAGGCTGAGACCGGACAGACTTCCCTAGTAAAGGAGTTTCTCTCAGGAGGTCTCAAGCAACACCAAGAGGCGGACTTCCAGCAGCTTCTGACTTCTGCTAAATGAAAATGCAAGCAATACAGGACTCAGGAGGTGAATTAATTTTAACCAGGTGTCATGACACGCATGCGCAGGTTGCCCCTTGCCGGGTACCAGGGCCCGTGTGTCATTCTGAGGTCCCGGGCTCTGTCCCGAGTGACGGGCATGTCTTCGGACATCTGCATCTTCAGACAGCACGTCTTCTCTGGCAGGCAGCGACGTGGGCCTCCCACGGTCTCTTCACGGCAGGAGCCACAGAACAGAGCCTTCCTCCACCACCCACAGGACCGCTCCGCCCCTCTGGCTATGCTGAGGGCTGGCTGTGGCGTCATGGTGTTGGAAGAACAAAGCCGAGCAGTGCGTTTATATAGCTCTGGGGCCACTCGAAAGCCACACAGAAGCCAGCAGGTGAATTCCTTGACGCTTTTCTTAAAACTTTTTCTGAATGAAATATTTAAGGTTTTGTTTTCTGAGGTTCTTTCGGTGTATGTCCAGAAGGATTTTTTTTTCTTTTCCTCAGTTTACTTTTGCAATCAGAAAATAATCAAGGTATTCTGAGGAGTCCAGTTTCTAACAAGACGAAGCTACCTGCTGTCTTCTGGGAGCCCTGGGGCCACCCCTCAGGCTGAGTGGCTGTCTGGAAACTGCTCCAGGGTCAAGAAGGCTCTCGAAGAGGGTAGAGAAGTTATACCTGTCAACCTAGGCAAAACTGGTACTTCCTGAGGCTGATGTTAAGCTGATTTCAGGCCCGGGACTCACTCAGCGTTCTCAGGAGAAAACCAGTCACCGGTGGGAGCCACGACTCAGGCGCATTTCACTGGCCAGTAGGCCCCTTCCTGTCATGCTCAGAGTGGGCGATTTGAGCTTTTTGGTTTCCTCCTCTCTGACGCTGTGCCTCCTGAAACGGCCGTGAAATGTCCCTTATGGCCCTGGTCTGTCCCGTCTGCTCGTCACGACGGCAGGAGGCTCAGAGGCCGGGCTGGCGCGGGTCCCACCTCAGCCGCAGTCCTGTGCTGAGTCTGCTCCCGTGGACGGGGAGCCTTTGAGCAGGCGGCCTGTGCTGCGCGGAGCCCTCCCGAGAGCACCTGCTCCTCCCTTTCCCTGCTGCTTTCCGCGTGGCACTCAGCTCACGGCATTGGCTGCCTGTCTGTTTCCCCTCCCGCAGGCCAGAGACCCTCACTCCCTGCTCCGTCCCGCGGGCCTTGCTCCAGGTCCCAGAGCTCTCTCCACACTGGTCAGCGGGCTCCTGGTTCCTGGGCAGCTACAGTGTGAAGTTGTGTAGCCACTGAGAAGAGCCTCTTGCCAGCTCAGCACCTCCTGTAGTCGGCCTGCTTTTTCTCCTGGAGACCGTCCCACGCCTTGCTCCAGGTCCCAGAGCTCTCTCCACACTGGTCAGCGGGCTCCTGGTTCCTGGGCAGCTACAGTGTGAAGTTGTGTAGCCACTGAGAAGAGCCTCTTGCCAGCTCAGCACCTCCTGTAGTCGGCCTGCTTTTTCTCCTGGAGGCCAAAAAGTAGATGTGGGAAGCTTGGAGAATTGACTGGTTTTTAAGGCCTATTTTGGGACGGCAGGTTTGGCATTTAAGATTAGGTTTGGCTGAAAATAATAGAGACCTAAAATGTCAGTGGCTTAAACAAGAGGGACTTGTATTTGTTCCTCAGAAGAGAAAATGCTACAGCAGCGCCAGCTAACGTTTACGCAGTGCTTGTTTTACGCCAGGCCCTTTGGATACTTGAACTTATCTCGCCCTCTTGGCAGCCGCTGACCCTGTACGGATGGGGCACAGAGGTGAAGTTCGTTGCCCACAGTCACGTAGCTCTCGTGCCTGAGCTGGGATTTTGTCACTGCACATCTGCCCAGGTCCGAAAGCTGTCTGACAGACCGCAGGCTGGGCCTGGGCAACACTGTCCTGAGGGACCCACGTTGTCTCTGGGCCCTGCATGTTCCGACCCCGCCTGCATCTCCACTGCAGTCTGCCAGAGCCCTGTGTCCTGCTGCGAGGCGGGGCCTGGGGCAGTCCGGAGGCAGCGTCGGTGTTCCGAGACTTGTAGCACGGTGGGGAAAATGTGGCCCAGACCATGGTGCAGACACGAGTGAGGGGCAGGCACAGTGGGCGGGGATCCCTCGGGGGGCACAGGAAGCAAAGGGACACTGAGATTTAGAGCTGGGCCTTACAGCCTGGTATTGCTTAACTAGATCCATTGGATATATCGCCACACAGAAAACACTAGGTAATGTTTAATAGGGACAGAAAGGAAAATGGTATTTCTATTTGTTTGTTTGTTTTTTGGAGATGGTCTCATTATGTGGTTCAGGCTGACCTTGAACTCACTGTGTAGCCCAGGCTGACTGAACTCACAGCGATCCTGCTGTCTCAGCCTCCGGAGTGCTGGGGTTATAGGCGTGCGCCACCATGCCTGGCAATGAAATGGACCTTTATGCATTATCTAAATTTGTAGTTTCTGCAAGCTTTATGTTGTTTTACAAAATCTTCGGTATTCTTTTTTGATAATAAAAGGCAAGTGCAGTCAATTGTGACTTTTTTCTCCCTAAAATAATGTGCATTTTAGGGGACTATAAAAATTATGCTTATTGTTGAAATTCTAAAAAGTCCAGTAAAGCCTAAAGAAAATAAAATACTTCATCCTGCCACCTGGGGAATAAGCACTGTAAACCTTGTGATATATTTTTTCCTCTGTGCTTGTGTAAACACACATAAATATTCTATGTACAGTGGTGGGAAGTCTACCATAAACAATTCTGCGCCTCAGCCCCGACATTACGCACTCCCGATCACCTCCCTGCAGAGCAGTCACCGCGCACCTACTGTGTGTCCGGTCTGCAGCGGCACTGCATGGTGCTAATTCATTTCGAGTCAGACTAAGGACATTCCCAGGGTCGCAGCTTTGCTGATGAAGCACCTCACTGTCCCGCTGGGGGTTCTGCCTGAATAGCCTTGAGGTTCACATGAAGAGCTTTTCAAGCAGAACACGAGTCCCAAGAGTTATTCCCAGCTGTCACGAGGGGCTTGGCCACAGGTCTTAGGAACGGTTCCCGTCCACCAAGGGGCAGGATCTGAACACACCGTGACCCTCGCACCAGGGAGTGCAGTGCCATCCCGAGTCAGAGCAGGGCCGTGGTCTAGGGGAAAGGCACACCCGTGCGGGCATATGTGGGCTGTCTTCCAGGCCGAGGAGGGCCTGCTCCTGCACCCGGGAGGAAGGCGCGTTGCGTGGTCTTTCCCTTCTTCCGGTTCCTTATGTTCTCACTTGGATCTCAGAACACACGGCTTCTCAGTCCTGCTGCAGGTCTCCTGCAGGGTTTCCACGAGCAGCTAGGACACGAGGTCCCGTGGCTAAATAAGCTTGGGTGATGCTGGATAAGCCATGCGAGTCTGATTGACTTAAGGCAGATGCCTATGACCTCCCAAACCCTTTGTTGCTGGGGATCTTGGTGAATCTCCGGGATGAGATGATGTCATGCGTGCTTCTCCTGCACACCTGTCCTTGAGGACTCTGTAGGGTCAGCGTTTGGCCGGCCCATCCTGGGACACTTGGCATTCACAGGCGTGGCTCACCCTCGTCGGCTCTGAGGCCAGGCCTGTGGTCTGCCTAAGCCCGTTCAGGACTCCGTCCTTGAGATGAACAGTGGGGCTCGAGATGTGTGTGCGAGGCTGCGGGCTGGGTTCCAGGCTGTCTCCAGCGAGCTCAACGTGAGGCTTGGATTTCCATTTCAGAATCAGATGAACAAGTGTGGAGGGAGAGGCAGGCGCCCCGGCCCAGCGGGGCTGGTGTGAGAAACGCCTGCCGGGCGCCAATGAGTTCCCTGGGAACTCAGGGGACACGCTTGTCCACTGACATGGGAGCGGGGGATAGGCCTCCTGCTTCCGCCCTGCTGGTTTAGACGAGACCTCCGGACCTTGTCCGCCTTGTGTTTTGCAGAAGAGGACGTGGAGAACTTCGATGTGACCAACCTGTCTCAGGACGTGCTGCGGAGCATCGAGGCCGACAGCTTCTGGTGCATGAGCAAGCTGCTGGACGGCATCCAGGTGGGGCGTCCGCCCGCGGGGTGCTGGTACAGGCGGGGTTCCTTACAGCTGTCGTGGCCGCGGAGGGCACCCCCTGCCACGGCCCCTCCCTGTGTGTGGTCCCCCCAGGCCACACTGGCTGTCCTCGGGGAGGGCCCCTCCTTCCTGCGGGATGCCCAGAGCCCGAGACGCAGGGCTACTGCAGGCTTGCCCCAGACTCCAGTCAGCACCGAGTCTGGAGAGAGAACCTGTACTTTCCAAAATGTTTCCGTGAACTTGGCGGCTGGGCCCTGCTCACCGGCCGTGTGTGTTTCACAGGATAACTACACCTTCGCACAGCCGGGGATCCAGAAGAAGGTCAAGGCTCTGGAAGAGCTTGTCAGCCGGATCGATGGTAGGTTCAGAGGAGCAGGACCCTTTTGGTGGTGGACGGTACGATTGCGACACAGGCCCGCGGTCCTGGGTTCCCCAGCTCCCTTCCCAGGTCAACCACTTGTTGGCAGGAAGGTGAAGTGTGAATGCTGTGGTCACCTCAAGTCCTCTGTGCCTTAGCTTCTCTCACTGAGCTCTCCTGTCCCCTTCGGCACCCATGACTTCTTCACTCCGGAGCCTTTGTGTCTTCCTGTGGCCTTTTTTGTTTTGCTTTTTGTATTTTTGAGACAGGAGCTATATAGTCCACGCTGACCTGAACTCACTGTGTAGCCCAGGCTGGCCTTGAACTCACAGTGATCCTCCTGCCTCAGCCTCCCGAGTGCTGGGATGGCTGGCGTGAGCCATCACACCTGGCTGGCCTCCACCTTGTACCCTTCCTGCCTCGGCCTCCAGAGTGCTAGGTGACAGGCGTGCACGCTGCGCTTGGCTCCTGTTGCCTTCTGCACCTTCTTCCTGTGCTGACAGAACTCAGCTCCCTCAGGCCTGGCTGACCCTGGCAGGCAGGATCCCCAGCTTCCTGGGACCTGTGTGCTGGAGGCGCAGAAGCTGGGGGAGCGGAGTCCCTGGTTCCTGCCTGGAGTCGTGGGGTGGCAGGACTGCAGGCGATTCGGGAAGCTCTGGGGTTGACCACCAAGGGCACTGAGGCCAGGGAGGAGTGTGGGGTGCGGTCCCGGCACCGTGGGGTGGCAGCAGCTCCTGCAGCACCCTGCCCGGCCCCGCCGTCTCACCAGCCGTGCTGCCTGCGTGGCCTTCCCGGACCTTCCTGCTTCCCCCAGCAAAGCCCTTTTCTTCCCTCCACACACACAGGCTGTCTTCTCTCTTTCACCATTGTGGGGTCCTGAAACCTCCCTCGATCTGTTCCACTCGCTCCAGCTTCCTTCCAGGACTTAGAGGTTCTGTCTCCGGCCTCATTTGTCCCCCACAGTCCTTTCCCACTTGTTCCCGAGTCACCCGACCCATGAGCGTCCCTGGTGCTACCCGCAGGGCCTGGGCAAGGTGCCCATCGCCCCGAGGTGACCATTGCTTGCGCTCCGGAGTGCAGAGGCTGTGGTGTCTGCCCGTCCTTGGTTTTTCTGCCCTTGCAAATACCTGAAAAATAAAAACCTAACACCTAAAACTTTAGGTCAGTGGCTCTACATACCCTTTATTGCTTCTTTGTGTAATAGCAGTAATACTTCCATTACGAAATTCGAAATCCTCCCCTTCGCTTAAATTCTGCTCCTCAGAAATAAACATTATTAACAGTTCTTTCAAGAACTGCATGGTTGGCCTGGGAGGTCCTTACCCAGCACGCACAGGCGCTAGTTTGGTTCCCAGCATCACAAAAGGAAAAACAAAACAAGGAAGAAGCAAGACCAGAGGAAGTCGAGCCTCCCAAACACTGTTTGAGGCGAGGAGCGATAGGGTTCCTGTGCTGCTCCAGCACACAGGCGTCCGGGGTGCGGAGTCAGCTGTGGGCGGTACGCGCACCCTCGGAGGGGAGCGGCAGGGTGA